ATCTTCTCCTGAACGCGACTTCTTGAACTTTCCTAGAGATTCATTGACTCCAATCATTCCTCGCCCAAATCCAAGCAAATGTTACAAAATGACTCCACGAATTCCGCAACAGATCTCTCCTTTTCAAAAGACGCAAAGTGAAATTACACGAACAGCACATACTACTTGCGTGCCTCCCCATCATTAGTATCGCCGTTGCACTTGTAGATATGACGAACAGGCCGCGTAGCAGTTCATTTGGCAAACATGACAGACCAGAATGGTCCACTGAAGCTTACCAAGTCGATCACCTGTCTAGTAAGCAGGGAGAATCCGTTCCAGCGAGCATCCGGAAGTATCTTTTTGTGCATGTTACCCGAAATTGGAGTGCTTATTTCAAGATCTAGCATTTGCAGTACTCGATTGAGGCGATATAACAGTAATTATAAAGCCAACAAAACCCTTGGACGAACTTTCACCGGTCTCATCTCTAAAATTCCACCAATCTCATTTCGCTTTCTTATAAATACGTGCGTGCTAAAGAATTAATTAAAGGAAACTCAATCAAATCACATTTCATTTGTAATGCACTACTCATAGTGTTGCTAAGAATTCGTCAATACCCCAGGACCGGTTTCGTCCTCTTGGGGCTCATCGGGTAGGCGCAGCTCCCGATTTTCCGTCAGCCTTATGTTCTACTTGAAACCAGATTGCACGAAATTAGTGAATATACACTTATTTGCAAACTAATTTGGTTCTTCGAGAGACTCACCTGGAACCCAGCTGAATCTCTCGTTTGTGATGTCCCCCGAAACCCGGGGACTACGCTTATCTGATGAGCCCCAAAAAGGGCGAAACCGGTCGTGGGCTGTCGACGGGTTTTCAGCAACCTTATGAGTAGTACATGACAAAGGTACATATGTATCGCGATATCTCGAACATCGTAGCGACTGAAACATCAGGCGGCCTGGTGCAGCACATTCAATTGCATGAGAACATCACAAACGAGAGATTCAGCTGGGTTCCAGGCGAGTCCCTCGAAAAACCAAATTAGTTTGGAAATGAGTGAATTTCGCTAAGATCACAGTTCAGTTTGTCACTAATCAACAACAGATTGAATTTAGCCGCCCTCATTAAAGAATAATGAGCCGTAATAAATCCCGTTTGACCTGGAGGATCTAATTCTTTTCAATCAACTCACTAGTTACGACCAGACTCCATGTTTGCCATTCATTCGATTTTTTGGGATTGGTGCTTTTATGTCCTGGATATTTGGGAATCACGTTCGACCAAATCAGCACTTGCGTGAGTTCTTACCCGCCCAGGTGTAGCTGCGAAAAACGGGTATCCAAGTTGGTTTCTTCATAGCCTAGATTACCGCAAACCCATGAGTTTTATGGAAGAAATTCGGTAGCCCACCCAGAATACTGCTTGTTGTACCATGCAATTAAGGCGGGCGAATGAGGAGGAATACGCACATGTTGAAGCGTATACAGTAAATAATAAACGTATCGTAATCTACCAAAGTGCATCCGATTGATGCGTGTACCGGTGAATTTTGACACAATGTACTGTAGATCAGAATAAATTAGACGAGGAATAGCAATGGAAAACGAAACAAACATAACCTAAGTCCGAAGGAGAGCCAGTCAAGTTGTTTTGCTTCCGACAAACAGTATCTACTGAAACACCTCGAAAATTTGACGTAGATGGTTGTCGTCGGCTTGTTTGCCAAACTGGGCAATTTAATTGCAAACCTTTCATCACCAATCGAGGTGACATTATCAGTGCGTTATTGGGGAGTGTAGTGGTGCGTAGTGGTGGGTTAGCAGTTGTGTAGGCACGTTTGCAATCAAATTGCCCAGCTCAGCGAACAAACCAACGACCACCAGATGGGGACGTTGTTTGTATGAAGACTAATTGCCCGACGACAGGCTACTGGTAAGTCAAACCGGTGCCTTTTTGTCTCCCTTTAGAAAAACCAATAAGCATACTGGTAGACTGTGTGTATTCATTCAGGAATTCAGCAAGCGAATGATCCACATTGTGAAGGAGGCAGATATCTTGACAACTCTACGTTTCGTCAAATTACCGTTGATTAATGAATTATTTGACTAACTAACCAATGAAACTTGTACATCTTAAACTTAATACTTTGCACAGCAGAACACAGTTAAGGTAAACGGGTTAACAGCGCCAACTGCCTTTAAGAAGTCAAACTGGAGTCAAGTTATCTCACCTAAATATTTTCGCTAAAAACACATCATACTCACGTATATCGTTTTGTGAGTATATACAACAGTATGACGGTGAATACGGATGGCCACATGAAATCGGCAGAGCAATATTGAGCGTTGAAGACAGACCCGAAATCTGTTTTAGAATCTAAAATTATGGCTCAGCGATTCAAAAATATACGGGAAAGCCGGTCCGTAGAAAGACCTCCGTGAATCAGTTAAATGTGGCGCTAAATCTATGAAAGTTTAGACAAAAATTCTCCGGAATTTGTTGGAGAAAAATGGGAAAGAATGTTTGTTCAGGTGTTCCGCGAGAGTCTTTCACTCCGTCACCATATCTCCCGGCTAGATATGACATGTGTACTATAGTAAACGTTTGAGGATTGCCGAATGATAATTGCTTTTTGAGGACATATTTATTCACTTATGAGCTTACTATCGCTTATATGAGTATATATCACTGAATAATGCGCCAGTCCGCTTGGTGAGCCCTGTTTTGTGTTTGAACTTGTAAAGCTAATCTATTCCAAGAAACGCCTTACAGCAGCTTTATGGTTAGCAACGCTCATCTCATGAACCTCTAGGGAGACTGGAACATACGACCTGTCGGCTAGCAATTTACTTCCGTGAAGATCAGCAGCAGAACGTGAATAGAGTAAACAACGCCGCTTTCCCTCCAGTTGACACTGTGTGATTATATGTTGATTGGTTCCTTGGGTGCAGAGTTCACGTTATTTAGTTTTCTTCTGCTCAATGTAGAGTTCTGTTGATCGATTCAGTATTCGGAGTTTCTCAACCGGAATTTCGTTCTATAACTGAGGTCACTCGAGTACGATGGGCACTAAATCCTGTTTGAATGCGACTGAGTCAGACTGCTGATCAGTGGCTCGTGGGAGAAAGATTTAATTTTTTCGTCGGGTCCGAATCTGCTAGAGTTTTACCAAATGTGCACTGCCGATGATTCATACTAGGGACTGGACGACCTGAATTGCTCCCTGACCTTTCATCTTGAATTCACTTGACGTACTGTATGAAATTCTGACGGAAAAGCCTCCCAAACCATCAATCAAGTTTTATTGGGTTGCTCCTCGTGTGTTTTACAAATCTTGAGCGGATTTTCGTTTTTTAAGTAATCTTTTCCGTTGGCAGTTAGGCACAGCACAAATAGTGACAAAATTAGAGCCATGGAAAAGCTGGCATCGGCCGGACGGCGGATAAAAGTTAGAGAAATTAACTTGTTTACCTAGAGAACGTGCTATCGGGAATCAGTTGCTTTTGAATCACGTGTACAAGATCTCTTTCGAAAACGTGTCAATTTATAAGCAATTAATTTATGATGGCTTGGGTTCATTCGGTTTTTTCCAGAAACGATCAGGCTACCAACAAACTGGGTAAAACATCCACAAAATGGCTCCGAAACTGGTGTTGATTGGTACCACTATTAGCGTGTATACCACACTAGGTCATCGATGAAAACTTTACAATTCAATACTATGGTAGCACTCGTGCTTCACCAAACCTATCGACGACTTTCTGGGAAAAACGTGGGGCACCTCAAAGTGATTCTGGAAACGGTTTATCAGCCATCTTGCATTGTGTTCAACTCGAAAACGTGTCAATTTATAAGCAATTAATTTATGATGGCTTGGGTTCATTCGGTTTTTTCCAGAAACGATCAGGCTACCAACAAACTGGGTAAAACATCCACAAAATGGCTCCGAAACTGGTGTTGATTGGTACCACTATTAGCGTGTATACCACACTAGGTCATCGATGAAAACTTTACAATTCAAGACTATGGTGGCACTCGTGCTTCACCAAACCTATCGACAACTTTCTTGGAAAAACGTGGGGCACCTCAAAGTGAATCTGGAAACGGTTTATCAGCCATCTTGCATTGATGTTAAACTCTGGGAGATTAAGCTTGTACATGGGGATTTTCCGTCAGCAGATTTTCCTCGTAATAAACGTTCTTTTAAATGCTGATAAGTTGGCTGCAAGTGAATTTTTCTGACGATAAGAACGGCCGGAATCACACTGAATTGTAAGTAAGGGGCCAGCAATAGGCTGGCATAAAGTCAGGCGTTGATGACTTTCAGTCGGTCATTTATTGGAACATTCTACACTGAATTCGCAGCCTCTGGTCCTTAAGCTTCAATCAACAAGGAGGCTGAATAATACGTAGAGATACGGGTTCAAGTGTATCGGGGTCCATCACTTCATGGGGACCTTGTGACTCGTTTCAGCATCCGGTAACTTGGGTGCCAGTCGAGCCACATTTTAAAACCCAATTTATTTGAATCGGCTTGGCAAATCGCAGGAATCATGGGGCGTGACCGTTTTTAGCAAATTTTACGCATATGGTCATTCTCACAACCAGATTACCCAATGCAATGGGTGACAGGTGTTTGAAGATTAAATGACACACCATGGAAGACACGTGGAGTTGAAAGATTGATCAAGTTCCCCTGGGCCTGATAAGAATTTTCCTCTCAAATTGTAATCTGTCTAGTTGCGCATGTTCCCATCGACAGCATGTTTTCAGTGATGTCGGCTTGAGAAAATTTGAACCAATGTGTTGCGTTGCTATCCATCATTGCATCTACTGTTAGATGAACATTCAATTTTGAATCATACTGAATACCGCTCAGCAGTGTTCTTTTTAATCAGAATGACCGACATTATTCACTGCTACTTGTAACGTTGAAAACAATGTATACGTAGGGCAGTTTATCATCGCTGACTAAGAAAACAACAACTCTAAAAAAATGACAAATTGTATACATGCTCATACGCGATGAACTGCTGTGTAACTGTCAGCGGGAGTTGCCCCGTTTCCGCTTATCTTCCATCCTCAGAATGATGAACGATGTCATCGTCAGTTTGCGTGCGTTGCTGGACAATAGTCAACAAGAAAGTAAAGTTTGGCAACTGGCTTTCCGGCCCCAGGAATTGACCAGATGTGTACCCAGTCATTTGGTGGGTGGGCTGCGACGTCTGCTGGGGGAAGAACGTGTCACAATGGTTAGTTGTGTGAGAACATCCGGTGTCTGTTAATTGGTTGAGTACTGCCTGACGGTGTAAGCATACATTTACATGATGGTCATGGAATCAAGGGGAACGCACTGAGTCACGAGGCCACTGTTGAGTAACGCGCAACAGACTGTAAATGGAGATGTTACCAGTATTGTTGATCCGCAAATCTTTTTTCTGATTGTGGACCCCTCGAACCAACCCTTCCAACCTATTATCCCTATTTCTGAAATGTGTCACTTTTCTCAAAACATCCTTAACGTTTCGGTGAAGTTCGTTCCACTGTGTTGCTTCGTGTACTCATTGTTGTAATCACCTGGCCAGAAATTCAAGGTAACAATGAGGATACAGGGCAACTAATACTATTATGATGCCAGTTCGTGATCGCATGTTGAAAATGTGAGCAATTCATAACTGGCCTCCATCTCATGATCAGGAAAATTAACTTCATTCCGAAAACCAAAATGTGTTGAAGACGTGAGAGTGACATGAACGACTGAAAAATGGATGGATGCAGCGGAAGAAAATGAAAGAACGTTTGTCACAGAAAGATAGCCAAAATATAGAAAATTTCAGAATTTCGAAGGGCCAATCCATTCATGTCGAGTCAATATGACTATTGTCTGGTTACTCCTTTACAGCTAGCTAGTCAGTTGTCTCCTATATTCTCTAGTTTCTCGTAAAATCGGAGGGATAGTTCAGCTGTAGCACCCTTTCGGTACCTAGCTGCCAGGCCATCCAAAGGAAGCTCGATGGCTGGGATACTGCCAGGTTGAACAGGCCTAGACAGGGGAAGTCGAGAGGCCGAGGTCGGGTTCGAACCACGGACCTTCCGGCCAGTAAATTTGCGCTCTAACCACTGAGCCAACTCACCCCACTGTGTTCCTTAGGTATCTAATCACTGATCAGCCAGGTATGAGAGACTCTATGGGCGTCGGGGGGACGACCCCAGAATTGCTCACTGCGTCGCGGAGGTACACAAACCGCCATATCATGGTAAGCTGCAGTCTATTCGTAACGATAAGACAGGATATATATATATATATATATACATTTGGAATCACTATGTAATGAACGCTAACAGTGGGAGTTGTTCGGAGAGCCCTACTCGTAATCATGTTTGCACATACCAACAATATAAGTGAAAGCGCAAGTTCTTAGACATACTCCATTCTTCGCGAACCACCCGTGTTGATAATCCGGGGTCACTAGAATTTGAAAGCAACCGTTTTATTGATGAGCTGATCTTCTGCATAGTGATGTTTTCCTACATTCTTCCGCGTGCGCTGGATCACGGCAGGAGTTGTATGTGGTGACGATTTCGTCTGGGAGCGTGATAAATCAGAGCTATGATACCTCCGAACCATGGAAATACGCCGTATTCGCAGCAACGGTGTTATAGTTAGAAACATGAACGAATAATAGGAAATCTGACCCTGAATCGCTCTCAGGTGGAGAAAAGTTAAAAATTCCCGAGATATTTCTCAGATGTTCACAGTAGTCTACATCGCTAGCGTACACTAGGTCAAGAAAACCTGAGTATGCGATTTGTAGGTATCAAGAACTTAACACAATGTTGCTCTCCTAGACGCAGCAGAAAAGTTCGGGCGAGAAGCCTAAGCTAAATTTGTATAGAACTGATTCTCAGTCTGTTCACAACCCCGCTCTTTTGAAGCTGTGTGTGCACAAGTGACCAGATATGTGTGGGGCATATATTTTTCTGAATAAAAAAAAGAAGAATATAGCGCCTTCATATTTCAAGGCGTTCGAAGTAAGCTCCTAACCTCAAGTCTAGTAAAAAGTATATTAATAAAACTAACCTGATGTGTAGCGTATTTTTAACAAAAGGCACCTAAGATACCACTGGCTTAGTTTCATCTTACTTGAACTCTTGTTAAATTCTCTGTTGTTAAATTCACCATACTAAAATGCCCAAGGCACTAGATATGTCACGATGTATTACATGGCATTTTGCCCAAGATAAATAACAAATGAACGAGCTGTGTCCGCAAGACATTCTCGTAACGGTCCATGTGTATCCCTTGTGGTTGCAAAGAACTTGCCTTTCATCACCCCTTCGAAGCCAAAAGATAACCACCCTTGAAGCTCTACAACGGAAATTTCTTCACCCAAGGCACACCTTCTAACCCAGACGGAAATGTTAACGACAAAATTCACCCAAGGCACACCTTCTAACCCAGACGACAAAACTGACGCAAGCTTATAAAATCGATTTTAGATGGCCAATTTTTCCATCACCTTTATCGTTCGTCTGGTTACTCTCAGCATCAAAGGCTTTCTCCCGGTGGACATCATCACAACATTGCTGTGGTTCCAGACGAGTCGGTACCCATGGGAATAACGACTAATGATGCTAATTAGTCTGCAGTTCCATAAGCTGTGAGAAACAGTTTGAATCCTTACAATCATCACAGTGTTTTTCTATGTTTGATGGCTGTTCATGGAATGGCAGACCAGTTGCTTCAACAAAGTCGAAAAGGGTTAAAGTGACGCACCTCTTTGCTTGATAGCTGGTTTTGTAATGTGGAGTTTTAGGGCACTTTACTGATTTCTGATAATAACTTTTGATTAGAAACCGGATAAATAAATAAATTCCGATTATTCTGCTCTTGAGAAACGCTGAAATGGCCGAAGTGAAATTGAAGCCAGTATAAGTTGAAAAGCTCAGAATCACTGTTTCTCTGCTGCATCCTTCTTAGGGAACATCATCAATGCACATCTCGCAAAACTCCACGGAGTTTCGAACACGAGACAACCTGCCATTTCTTCAACGCAACCGTTCGGACACGAGAGGTTGAACAGCATTCTGATTAGCCCTTACTTAGACAAAACATGCTGCCACTCATCTGCATTCACAGAATACACATTATGTGGTCACGTGCTTGACTGACAAGATGTCGCCTGAACAGCCAGGTGATCACGTGGTTTGAATTCCAAGAATATGTTGTTGAGTTTTCGGCCTCAAAAAACACGATTACGGGGCACCATATCATTCAGTGAAACCCACGCAATCTCATTACTCCCCAGTTTGTGTTCAAATAGAAGAATTCAAGAATCAGATTCAGTAACTGGAAGAAAGATACATCTCTGATCCCAACAAATAGCTGTTTTTCTCTTGGACAGTGTGGAGCAGAGTCACTCTTCCGGAAGAATCCCCTTAATCAATGCTTTACTTGACAAAGTTCTCGGGAAAACTTCGCCAGCTGACGGGGTTTTCATACCAGAATGGCTCTCTCACGAGGAGGCAGAAATCCATAAATCAAACCGGGGGCATAAATTTTTCATGAGTTAATCGAGAGTTCTTAGCTATTGCATGTAACGGATCGTTACAACGCCCTCAAGTTAACTCGATATACAAAGATGCATGAATGAAGATGCGCCCAAAGACGTTATGCAGAACAGTGCTTCCCGCACGAGCAAACTATATGCGTACGCAGGACAGGGAACACTCTGGTAGGCTTCGCTGGGTTTATATCATTTTGCGGCTCCAGTCTAACAAGTAACAAATAAGCACAGACAGCCTGTCAGATATACAGCAAGTAAGAATAACCAGTCAGCAGAAAACGGACAGAAAATGTGTAAACGAAAACTAGTGAACGTCCAAGACGTGAACCCAAAGAGTACAACCAGGTCAACAAGCAGGATACCAAGTGAGATCATGTCCAACTTCCTTCAAGCGGAAATAGCTAAGTGGAGGTAGAGGTAAGAGGAGTGGATGGAGAAGGAGGTTTGGATTTTGTCCATTGGTCTTGCCGTTGGAAAAATTTTCCTGAAAATTCTTGTCCTAGTTTTATTGGCCTGTCAGTGGTCCAGCTAACGATAAACTCTTGGAATTCTTCAGTGACGAAAAAAATTGAACTTGCTTTTCTACAGCAGTTTTTGGGCCGAATGTGGTGCTGTGAAATAGCTCTGTCTGAATCGAAAAAAAGCATTGATAATTATGCTTGTGTTTTAACATATGGAGAGTCGTTGAGTTTCATTCACGCTGCTTTTGGTTTTGAATCGAGCATTATGCAGCAACCAAAAGTTTACAACATATGTTATGTTTCGGAGATTAATTTGGGAATTACGGTCTACGCGAAAAGCTGATCAAGTTCTCAGATTAATCGCTTGAAAATTTACATCTAACTGTCCTTTGTGAGCAATATCACTGAGTGCAATCGACTCATAATCAAATTGAAAATGCAATGTGTCAGGTCTATATGGGATAAAACAAGTAAAACTAGTCGTTACACGTTAACTGAAACTCATCAGCTATCAGATCTACGGCCTTTGAACCTCCCAAAGTACGTCATGAGTTTTTCTTCAGTGGAATGAACAAACAATGAGGGTAATTGGACTATTTATGTGTCTCGCTAATTATTGATCCAAGCACCAAATTTTTAATGCGCCCCCAAGTTCGAAAAATTTGAACAGAGGATTGTTTCGATAACAGCGGAGAAAAACGCAATTTCTACGAAGAGAGTTAATAACCGCAATGAGAAATTCCTGATTAGTTTGCATGCTTGCCACAACGGTAGACCGTCCCATCCAATCAAATTGGATTAATCTGACACTGTGACGTCGATTTCTTGAGTACGGAAGGATGACGACCATGGAACGTTAATTTCTTTACTTGATTTAGAACCAATCCGACTAGTACTTCTCGGTCTACGAATGAACAATTAGTCGATGATTCTGTGCGCTTGTTAGGACCAAAAAACAGCCGAAAATGGAAATGAAGAACTGTAATACTCTTGCTTGCATGATCCAGTTAATTTTGTCGTGACAAGTAAGAGGAAGGATAATTAAATCCTATCGATCTTTCTGCGTTGAGTAGACTTCTGCTTAAGAACTGAGTGCCTGCTCGAGTAATTGTTATCAAAAACCAACTCTTACTAGTTTGACAGTAGAAGCAGTCTTGGGAAATAAACCTCACCTAAGAAAAAGCCACTCCAAGTAAAATTTCACCCTCCCCTCTATGAATTTCTCCAGTCGGTTTCAGCACATATGTCCGCACCACC